GAACCAGATGAACTTTCCTGACAATTGACAATGGATTTGTGGTCATCATTAGACTCTTAAGTCCAGATATTTATTGAATTCAAATTCCACGGTCTGCCATGACAGGATTCAAACCTGGGTCCTCAAAACATTACCCACGTCTCTGGGTTAACAGTCCAGCAATAATACCACTAAGCCATCATCTCCCCTAATTATAGCCCTTTACTTTTGTTGATCTGGCCTTGAAACCCCCTCTCAAGAATTGTTCAGCCATAGATTGCCTCAGTGAGTGTTTTCCTTGGTCTGTACTCCTCTGGACTTCATAAATTATACTCCAATATTTATACACAGACATATACAGCTTTTCAACCTCAGCTAACTTTGACCCCTGCTGAAATCTGTCCTGGGTTTTCTGTGAAATCTAACCTTGCTCAGTTTCATCAAGCAAGTAATGCTTCTGGGCTTTTTAAACCCCAGTCTCAACTATACCATCCAGTTAGTGATACCCAGTTTCTTGTGAGCCATTACAACTTCCAGGACATTTCCTGAGACCTGACTGCAACACCTACCTGCCTAATAACTCCTAGAACCTGGACTGAGTTCTAAAAAACCAGAGGTATCCATCTACTCTCGATTGAACTCAGTCTTTCCTGCACAGACTACCTGTCTTGCTGAACATCAATATTTCTAACATGGAATCTACTGTGTGCCTTCTTCACACACTTATTGATCTTCAGTTCCTAACTGGCTCCTTTGAACTTCTGTTTAGCAACCCCAAAAGTGTCCTGAATGACCTGTTGAAAACTTTGCAATAAGCCCCACCCCGTACAAAATTGAATGTTGCCACTGAGTAGCTTTTGGAACTGTCAGTTTCATGTATGTTACCTGTCATTGATTGCTGGCTTGCTCAGTACTAAGAGAAAGATATAACCGGAGGATTGCATCACAACTTTTGATCAAACAATAATCAAATAATCAAGCAAGTAAACCAAAAGAAGCCCTCAAAGGTGAACTGTCAAACTAAAAATAGTAACTGAAGTCTCATTAAACTAAAATGTAATTCCTGAAAAAGTTTATCTTTATTTCTCCTTGGAAGGTTTACCTTAAATTGTGCTCATGGTACTTAATCAGTCTGTACCCAACACTTTGATATCCTTAGCCTTAAATAATAGCTAATTAACATGCTATGATTAATGTGCTCAGAATTGTCACACCATGAGCTTTTCATTTCTATCCTGCCAGCAAAATCAAGATCAAGCGCAAATAAGTTAAATATTCATTTCAAAAGTATGATTCTCAATCATTCTGGTATTGATTGAGGTTGCTAAATGTGACTAAAACTTCAGTCACAGAAGAACTTTTATATCAGCTATGACAGTACTATGGCTTTAAGAGTTTTATTTTGTTGTGGTTACTTTAAAGAGAGAGATTGAACAAGAGGTGAGAAACAGTCTGTATGTAAGAAAATAAAGAGCTTGTGAGTCCTTAGAGATTTTCTTTGACAAATTTGGAACAATAGAAGCAACCTGACTGGGTGTGGTCAAGCTCCCACCCACATAACCAGGAATTTAGTTTTAGCATTCAGCAGAAGCTGCTGGGGTTGTGAAAAGCTGCCACATCTCTATGCTACAGCTGAAAAACTGTCAGAATTATGTTTTGATGTTCATTCCCCCTGGATTGGAGTTGCATGTGAGACAATCTGTTTTCTGAATTTGCCTTTTTGTCATGTGTTTACTATATTGGAACAGCTACTGTTTAGTAGTAAAATGATCTATTATCCTATTAAGTTTTCCAATCGAATGGTTACTCCAAGTTCTTATTTCTTTTTCTCAGTTCTGAGGAAGAGTCACCGGACCCAAAAGGTTAACTCTGATTTTTTCTTCACAGATGCTGCCAGACCTGCTGAGATTTTCCAGCAATTTCTGTTTTTGTTCCTGATTTAGAGCATCTGCAGTATTTAACTCACTGCCACATCTCTTCTAGGCATTCCCACTTTGAAGAAGTTCTGCTCCTCTCTCTGACGAGATGTCTGTTCCCATCTTTCTTCTTGCCCACTGACATTAATTTCACCGTCTCTGCTGGTGTTTGACCGAGCATTTGCTAAAACTCGTTTCCACAGCCATATCACATTCCTCAGTGACTGCCTCTGGCTCAGACTCACCTGACGTGGATTTCAACTGAAGTTTCATCCCTCATGTTTTGAATCCTCCCAGCATCACAGATATCTCTGTGATGTTCAGTGTTCCACGGACAGCTGCTCTCGCCGCATCCTGAGATCCACACTCAGTGCCATGCACCATCACATGCACACTCTTGACCCTTCTCTCCAACAGCATTGCAACATGCTGTCTCAGGGTTGCACCACTCTGCAGTTCCACTTCATCCTCCGGCTCAGTCATCGTGCTAACAAGAAACTTTTTCTTTTCCTTTCAGGCATCAAGGCCCACAAAATGCAACAACTCAAAGATACCCATGGCCCTCTGGAACTTTCCTCTCCCCCTCTTCCCTTTGACTCCATCTCCTCTCCCAACCCCACGTCCTGTCGGGCATTCACCATACCTCCTAACCTTCCGCTCTCCAATGCTAAACATTCTGTATTCAGCAAAGGCCTCAGCTTTATTCCTCTGCGTCCCCACCTTAATGAATTTTGGGCATGACATGATGTCGAACTCTTCTTCCGCAGTCTTCACCTCTGTGCCCATTTCTTTGGACAAGAGTTCTCTCCCCGTCCCACGCACCCCTTTGCCGAGTTACAACACTCTCACTCCAGCTGGACCCGTCCCTCTGGCCTTTTACCTGTCCCCGATCCGTTCATTGAGAATTGTCGACGTGATGTTAGTCGCCTCAATTTCTCTGCCCCCCCCTCACCAAATCCAACCTATCCCCCTCTGAACTGACTGCACTCTGTGCACTTAGACCTAACCCTGACTTTGTTATTAAGCCTGCTGATAAGGGTGGTGCTGTGGTAGTCTGACATACTGACCTCTACCTTGCAAAGACTGAGCACCAGCTCTCAGATACCTCTTCCTATCTTCCCCTGGACCATGACCCCACCATGATGCATCCGGCCATTGTATCTACTACGGTCACTGATCTCATTTCATTCGGTGATCTCCCCCTCACTGCTTCCAAGCTGATAGTCCCTCAGTCCCACACAGCTTGCATCTACCTCCTTCCAGTTCTGAGGAATGGTCACCAGACCCGAAACATTAACTCTGACTTTCCTTTACAGATACTGCCAGACCTGCTGAGCTTTTCCAGCAACTTCTGTTTTTGTTTCTTCTTTCTTTTATTGTTAGAATAAATTATGTTTTGATTAATGTTGAGTAGTTTAACAATCAAATGGCATCTGGAACCTAGCACCTCACATTTACCTTTAAACATAAGAAAAGTTAGGGTCTAGGCTACCTCCTTAATGTATTTTGAAGGGGTCTGATTCTCTAACACAGTTTTAAACCAGTTTCACTTCAGACCAACTCCACAGCAATAATGAGGATTTTCCTGGGTACAGTGTGTATATTGGATTGCGTAGATTAAAATTATATTTTAAAATCTTGCATATTTTTCCAGTATCTGCTGGATGTCATTGATCAAGTTTGTCAAAACGCAGATTCAACATTTTTTTTGTCTACATTGTAAATGTGAGCTGTTTCTGAAATCATACCTCATCTGGCACTAGAAGAAAGCTAAATGACAATCTGAAGTTGGTTTGGATCTACGTACCCAATATACATACTTCACATTTAACAGGATATCTCGTGCATGAATCACTAAAAACTAGTATGCAGGTACAGTGGGTAATAAGGGAAGCAATTTTGGCATTTATTGCTAAAGGAACAGGGTATAAAAGTAGGGAATTGTTGCTGCAACTGTGCAAAGCATTAGTAACACCTCACCCTGGTGTATTGTGTACAATTTTGGTCCACTTACTTGAGGAGGGATGTAGTTCCCTTGGAAGCAGTCGGTTAGATTGATACCAGAAATGAGGGGTTTGTCGAATGAGAGAGCTTGAGCAGTTTAGATCTATACTCTTGAAGTTCAGAAGAATGAGAGGAGATCTAATCGAGGTGTATGAGAAGCGAAACGAGATTGACAAAGTAATTGTAGAGAGGATGTTTCCTCAGAGCAATCTAAAACTAGAGGTCAAACAGAAGTGAGGAGAAATTACTTCTCTCAAAGGGTGATGAATCTGTGGAATTTGGTACCCCAGAGTACAGTGGATGCCAGGATATTGAGTAAATTTAAGGAGGGAGTGGACAAATTTTTGATTAGTAGTGGGTTGAAAAGTAATGAACAGCAGGCAGGAAACTGGAATTGAGGCTAAGATGAGACCAGCCATGATCGTACTAAATGACGGAGCAGACATGAGCAGTTAATTTGCCTACTGCTGCTCCTAGTTCATATGTTCTTATGTACTCATCACAATAAGCTATGGTATTGATGACGAAGTTGAAGTGCAAATTTACAATGAGCTATTTCCACACCTTCATATGTTTTGATACAGTTTATAGTAAGGACACAAGAGTGTGATTGTCTGACATCTGTCTTTTCCTACGTGTGGCACAATTTTTGATTTACAATTAAAAACATCAAAGGTGAATTTATAGCACAAGTTAGCATCATGGGCAGAAACTGTATATTGCAGTTATTTTAATTACAGTGACTTTATAATTTGCTTTTATGAATGTGCTTTTTGCTTTGGAGCTTTTTCACACGCATATCAGGAAAATCGAGCACATTTATGCCCTAACTTCTAAGCTGTTGAAATTAATGGAAGGCAAGTTTTGGGTTGGGCCTGAATAGGTGGCATTTGTCTAAATTCTAAATAAGTATCCCAATTGGAATTATCTCTGCCAAGGTGTGCTGATGCAGCCTGTAGATTTTTGAGGGTTCTATTTTCAAAGACAGATGTATTGGTACTGTTTACCTAAGATTTATTTACTAATGAAAGTAGTTCAATTGTAGAATATTACAAATGATGAATCATGTATAATTAAAAACAGTTTTTATTGCTAAAACAGAATTATGCTTGAAGAATTTACATGCATTGTCTTCTATTGGTTTGATAAAGATGGATGAAGAGATCAATTTCAAGCCTACAGGTGAAAATATCATTCCATAAATTCTAATAAATCTTTGTTTTAATTAAAACTATCATAACAGTATCAATTATTGTATTGTAATATCTTAAGCTTTTCCTTTATATTTAATAGAAACTGGAAGACTAATGGCTCGTTATTGCATTGCTTTCGATACAATGAAACTTTTCTACTTGGTCACTGGAAGTGAAACTTTAAATGAACTGGTAATTTGATAATTCATTTGAAGTAACAAATAGAATGTTTTAATTGTAGATCTAAAAATGATGACGCACCTATTTCAAGTTGTACATTTTAAATTTCTAGGTAGATCTGGAAAATGTAAATAACTTTCAGGCCTCTAAAATAGAGTTACTGTGATTGTTTGAGTAGGGCACCACAGTGGTAACATTACTATACGAATAATTCAAAGGTTTGATCGAATAATCTGGAGACATGAGTTCCAAGTCCCACCAAGCCAGCAAAATCCCGTAAAATGAACAAAAAATACTTTGGAAATTTAAATTCAGTTTATTAACTGAATCTGGAATAAAAAGTAATGATGACTATGAAGCTACTGTATTATCATAAAAATACAACTGGTTCACTATTATTTATTGGGAAAGGAAACCTCATGTCCTATATATGACTCCAAATCATAGCAGTACAGTTAACTCTTAACGGCACTCTGAAATGACCTAATAACCCTAGAAAAAGAACACAGTCAATTTTTCATCTGTTCAGTTAAATGAAAGAAAATTGTGCAGATCCCTTTCCAAATGTATCCTCTGATCCACAAATAGTAAATTAGGCCTAGGCAATTCAGCGTACTTGCATAGAGATTCAGGAAAATCTTCCCTTATCACCATAAAGTAAGTTCGAGATGAAATCGGTTTATAGTGATTCTAGTTCCACAGAATTAAGCGAGGGAAGTCATAGCAGTACTGACCATAGTGATGTCAGTAAATATATATTTTTAAAAAGCCATGAGAAGCTGTAATGGAAAAATTGATTAGCATTGAGAGGTTAAGAGGGATTCCCTATCATCTGTCAAGAACAAAAGTACGACATAATGATTACTAAATCATTATAGTCTTGAAAGGGAGAATGACTATGGTGCCTTTAATTTTAGGTGTAAAAGTAGAAAACTATTACAAGAAGGAAATAGAATATTTGATATGATGTTTAAATAGAGGGTTCAGTTAAATGTGCCAATTTGAACACACTTTCTACGCACACAAGTCCAGATCTTACAGCCCTCACATAGTTGAAACCAGTCGTATGGCCAGAGATGTATGTCAGGACCCGATGTCCTGACTGGGAGAGTTTAAATTGTTTTGGCTTACTTAGCTGGATAGTTACCTAGGAAATATTAGATGGAAAAAATCCAAATTTAACTCCTGGGTAAGTATACAAATTTACAACCCCCACCACCATCTGATGTCACAATTTTATCCCTTTGACCAATTCCCCCAACCACCTGAATCATACCATGATCCACCCCCAAGCCAATCCTATTAGACTCTACCATGAGACTGCAACTCCTAAAGACCCCTGCCTCCAGCCCAACTTGGCTTGGCCAAATGACCTCACTGACCCCTACCCCCTTGAGTGCCCCACTGAAGCAATTTGATTAGACCTGAACTGATGACATCGCTGAACTTCGAGTCATACAGGACAAAAAAGGCCCTCAATATAGCTTGACCCTAATACCTATCTCACCCACTTACTGTCCTGCCCAGCTGCCACCTTCCCCACGTACTTCATTCATCTTACTACCTAACTCACTTCCTTCACCTACCCTATCAACTTATAAATCATACATTCACCCATTCAATCAATCATTCACTGATTTACAAACACATTGAAAAGCTGTTTTAAAATCCCAAAGCTTTACGGTGTGTTAGTGAGAATACATCAGCTAATGATGTGAAAAGCAGGCATTGCTTGTCTTCTCTTAATGATCCAAAGCTAGAAGAAGAACTTTAATTTCAAGTTTTCTTTACATTTCTGAAAAGGCTCAGACTGGAAGTCACAGCATGAAAAGCAGAGCTCGTTCTTAATGAGAAAAAGTAGTAGCAGAGTGGCAATCTGACAATTATTGATGCTTCTGAGAAGATTTGGTGCACAGTTGTTACTGCCTGCACTGCTTGGTGTAAAATGGTCTCCATCTTCCATTTCTTTGGAAAATTAAAACAATTTTATTGATAGATCAACTTCTTGTGTAAAAGCAGAAGCAGTTGCAAGATACCTACTTGTTTTCCACCATTTCAAGGATAATATAGGTCTGCAATTAATGAAATTCAAGTAGCAAAGCTTTAATATTTTTATTTAGATCAAAATTCAGAGAAATGGGACCAGGAGTAGGCTATTTAGTCCTCTAGCCTGCGCCACCATTTAGTAAGATGATGGCCGATTGAATCATTGTCTGAACTCATTTTACCTGTATAATATATTCCGTGATCCAGCTTGACTGCTTTAGGAGCAAAGAATTCCTAAGATGCACACCTTGACAATAAATTCTTCTCATCTATGTCTTAAATGAGAAATCCTTTATTCTGAAACTGTGCCTCAAGTTCTAGATTCTCCCACAAGGGAACATCCTCACAGCATCCAATTTGTCAAACACCTGTCACAATTTTGTATATTTCAATAAGATCAACTTTCATTCTTCTAAACTTCAACGAATATGGGCCTAATGTGCTCAGCGTTTCCTCATAAGACAACCTTTCCTTCCAGGAATCAACCTGATGAATGTTCTCTGTACTTGCTCTAATGCTAGTAAATCCTTGCTTAATAAGGGTACCAAACTGCATATAAGATTTTAAGTGCTGTCTCACCAATGACCTGTATAATTGTTGATAAATGTCTCTAATTAACATGACTATTGCTAAATGCTTGAAATAACTGCACAGAGGCCAGAATCCCATCACCAAGTCACCCTCTATTTACTGTACACTGACTATGGCCAGCCAGCTCGGAACCAGTCACCTGAACTGAGGAGATGTTAATCTCCTGTTATATTGGTCAGCCAGGGCTTTCCTGATTGGCCCAGGTTAACAACACCAATCAATGACCTCATAGTCAATGAGCTCAAGCTGGTTCCAATCACTACATCCCTCCCCCCATAAGTCCAGGGATGTAGGCCTGGTCTTTGGCTTGTAGCTTTTCCTGTGACATTTTCACCCCAAGTCCGGTTCCTCTTATTTGGACTCTTACACGCGTGACGTGTACCGGACCGTAGCCTAACTCGTGCATCTGGAGTGTATCAGGAGAGTTTCTTCCTCTTCTTCTGGTGGTAGTGGTATCGAGACTGCATCCATCTTGGACTCTGAGGTTTGCTTTACACTAGACGGAGGGGGAGAACCTACAGCTTCCGACAGGCCTTCTGGTTGTTCTGAGGGGCCAGGTACATTTTGCTCCTGCCCATTTATGAGGCAACAGCTTTCAGAAGATCCACATGTTTGTTCAGGACTATATCACCTACCTGAACTTTGTAAGAGATGGGACCTGATCTCCAGTCAACCTCACCTCCTGTATCTGGCGGCGACCTCTACTCGGGATAATCACCCTTGCTCCCCATAGAAATACGCCATCCTCTGCAGTGAATCTGGTCTCACTGGGTCCAGAAAGGTTTCAATCCATGTTGCAATGGCCCTTCTCTTTCCCCATTACCGTTGACTGTTTTAGTTTCACTAGGACAGGATCTTTTTGTGTCCACAGTCGGATATTGTCAGCAGTGCCTGGAAGGGTGTCCAAGAAGTTCAAAACCAAAACAGAATCTTCCAGGGGAGGCACCATTGGTGGAGTATCTGCCAGTGTGAGGTGTCTCAAGACATTCGCATTAGCCACTTCGCTTCCTGAATAGTGTTCTAATTTGTACGTACTGAGGATAAAAGCCCAAAGTTGAATTCTACTGGAAGCTATGGCAGCAATGTCTTTTCTTGCTTCAGTAGCCCTAGCAGGGATTTGTGATCTGTTACTATGACAAATTCTTGTCTGCAAACGTACTAGTGGGATTTATTCACGCCAAAGATGACCACCAAACATTCCTTCTCAATCTGGGCAAATTTGTGTTCAGTGTCAGCCAAAGTATGGGAGGCATTGGCTAATAGGCATTCCTTTCCATTGGGCCACCAGTGAGCCAACACTACCCCGACACCGTATGTGAGCATTACCTCTCACTTCGGAGTGTAGTGGGCCAACACCTTAGATGACGGTGGCTGCTTTTTCACTTCCCTAAAGGCTACTTCTTGGCTACACGACCATTTCCAAGGCTGACCCTTTTTCAATAGCAGGTGTAAGGGTGCCAAGATGGATGCCAGGATATGTATGAATTTTCCATAATAATTTACTAACCCAAGGAAAGACCTAAGCTCTGATACAGACATGGGAGCCGGTGCTCCTTTGATTGTTCTCACTTTCTGTTCCAGCGGGTGTAACCCGGTTTGGTTGACTCTAAGTAGGTCACTTGGGGTATCTGGAACACACATTTTTCCCTTCTAAAGCATACACTTGCCTAGGAGAAATGTTTAAGCATTATGTCCAAGTTCTTCAAGTGCTCTTTATTGGTCTTCTCTGTCATTAGTACTTCATCCAGATAAATGGCAGCCTGGGGTAGCCCTTGTAAAATGTTCTCCATGGTCCACTGGATAATGCTGATGAAACCCCAAATGGCAGTCTTGTATATTGATATAAACCCTCATGGGTATTAATTGTAGCATACGTCTGGGACATCTCATCCAGTCGCAATTGCAGGTAGGCATGGCTCATGTCCAGCTTCGTAAAGGATAGCCCACTGCCAACTTTTTGTACAAGTCCTCTATGCAAGGTATTGGGTATTTATCCAGCTGCGAGAAATGATTTACCATTTGCTTAAAATCCCCACAAAGGCAAATTGAGCCATCAGGCTTCACAATCGGTACGACCTGTGCTGCCCATTCAACAAACTGCCATGGTTTGATGATTCCTTCCCTCTCCAGCCTCCTGATTTCCACCTCTACTTTGGCCTGCAAGGCAAATGGTACTGGGTGGGCATGGCAAAATCTCGGAATTGCTTCCTGGTCAGCATATAAAGTGGCATTGATCCCTTTGATAGTCCCAAGCCCTTTCTGAAATACTCCTGAGTATTTCACCAGGACTGCACTGAGGCAGCAATTTTCTAATTGAAAAATGTTGAGCAAATCCAAGTCAATCTTTCTCAACTAGTTCTGAATTGTTATGCAAGTGCTAAATTGCACTACAATGGGATGGTTCAACCAGGTGAGGAGGGAGAATCTGTTCTCCTGTTTTTGACCACCTCTCTGTTGGTTGCAATGAATATTTTTTTAATTTTTAGCACAAAGCTAGCACATTTCAATTAAATATAGTTTGTTAGAAATGGAAGGAACCAATTATGAAGATTTCCATGTGTGAAGAGAAATTTTATTAACTACTAACCTGAAGAATAATTATAAGAACCTGACATCAAGAGCAGATGATAAGTTTAAAGAAAAGAGTGAGAGGTATAGACAGGAATAATTAAGGCTACACAATTCAAATGTCCTTAAAATCTTTGGGTTGTTAGGTTTTAAACCTGAGACCGTAGTTTGTTAATTAATGGCCTGTATCCACAGAGAGGGGAGTTGAGGCCTGGGAAGATCAACCATGATCTTATAGAATGGCTGCACAGGCTTAATGGGCTGAATGGTCAACTCCTGTTCCTGTTTCTTATGGTCATGGCAGGAGCAGAATCTGAAGTATCTTTGAGTTCTTGGTAAATGATTGTTTCCCAATTTGGGCTTTCATTGGGCACTGTATTCTGAGGTAATGAGAGAAGCAGGATGGGAGAGTGAGTTTTCAAGAACTTATTATCTCAAATCAATTGTTTTCTTCTCTCTGCTCTGTTGCTCAAAGACAGATATAGAAATACAGTTCACCGTGTATTGCGGAGTTAAGATCCATTGTCTTTCCAAGCTGTCTAACTGGCAGGTGGATCTTTCACTTCCTATCATATGAAATTATCATACATATGTGAATTAAACAGAAGTTATAATTTTTTTGATGCTAACTCATCCTAGTTCTAATGTCTTTCACTTAAAAATGGTAATTTGAATGCAGACTGTTTTGTTTATTCCACACAAGTCTCATTTAAGTTTAGTCCATTTTAAGTCCATTTTCTTCCTTTAAAACCGTTAAAGGCCTTCAAAGGTCTTGGGTATAACATTGGACAGTCTATATTTACTACTTTCATAGTGGGGGAAATACATTTCAATGATACATTCGCATGGCAACACTTGACCAATCAGTTGACTTGCCAACCAACCATCACCCTTTTATCGTGCAGTATAATTTGTTACTACCTTTAAAATATGACATCATTTTGTCAGTTCTAATGATACAAGATGAAAAGCTTCAACAGCTTTGTCTCTCTCTTTTTCAGCAACACTCAAGTTCCGTAGAAACAAGTGACCATTGATTAAACAGTGTGTGAACTGTAAAAAGGCTATTGGGCCTCTTGAGCTTGATCTATCATTCAATTATATCATGGCTGATCTATATTTAAACTCCATTTACTTGTATCTATATGATCCATGAACATCACAATAGATCTAATATTTGATGAAATTCACTTTTAGTGATGTGAATATACCTTTTGAACCAATTCCTGTGTTATGAGTCACCTGTGAAAAATTAAAATCTTTCAGCTACCATAGAGTCATATGGCATGATTCTAGAAACAGGTCCTTTGGCCCATCATGTCTATGCTAACCAACAAACACCAAATTGCACAAATCCTATTTTTCTGTGTTTGGTCCATAGCCTACTGTACCCTGGCATTTTAAGTGCTCTCACCAGATGCTTCCGAAATGTCATGAGAGTACCTGCCTCCACCACCCTCTCAGACAGCATGTTCCATATTTCTACCATCCTCTGGGTGAAAAAGTTTTTTTTCTCAGATCTCCTCTAAACCACTTATTCCTAACCTTAAGCTTGTGCCCTTTAGTTGTAGACATGTTTGCCATCAGGAAAAGATTCTCATGTTCTACCCTGTCTATGCCTATCATAATTTTGTATGCCTCAATCAGATGCCCCCTCAGCTTCCTCTGCTCCAAGGAAAACAAACACAGCTTATCCAGTCTCTCCTGATAAACTGAGACTTTTCATCCCAGGCAACATCCTGGTGAATCTTCTCTCCAATGCAATTACATCATTCCATGAGTATGGCGACCAGAAGTACACATAATATTCCATCTGTGTCCTAACTAATGTTTTATAAAGTTGTAACAAGTCTTCCTTGCTTTTCCTTACTGTGGCTAATGAAGGCAAGTATCCCCTGGCTTCTTTGCCACCCTGTCTACCTGTGCTGACACCATGGACTTGTACACTAACGTCCCTTTGTTCCTCAGGACTTCCTAGGGATCTAACATTCATCATGTATATCCTTCTCTTATCAGACTTCCCAAAACGTAACACGTCACAGTTATCAGGATTAAATTCAATTTGCCATTGCTCTGCCCTATTTACCAGCTGATCAATATCAGACTGTAGCCTGAGACCATCGTCCTCACTATCAACAACACCACCAATTTTCATGTTGTCTGCAAACTTAGTAATTATATCTTCCTCATTCATGTCCAAGTTAGTAGTGTCCATAACAAACAGCAAGTGTCCCAGCAGTGATCCCTATTGCAAAATTAATTACAGTAACGATCTTTCACCATCACCCTTGCCTCCTATTTACAGTCAGTTTTGGATTCATGTGCCAATGGGCTGTCTTTTGGACTAGCCTTCCATGTGGGACCTTGTCAAAGGCTTTATGAAGTCCATGTAAACTAGATCAACTGCATTATCCTCATCAATATATTAGACTCCTTTTTAAAAAAACGCAATTAGGTTAGTCAGACAGGACTCTCTCCAACAAATCCACGCTGACTATCCCTGACCAATTCTTGCTTGTCAAAGTGTTGATTAATTCTGTACCTTAGAATTTTTTTCATTAATTTCCCTACCACTGACATCAGACTAATTAATCTGTAATGACCTAGCCTAGCCAGGCTTCCCTTCCTGAAAACAAAAACTATGAGCAATCCTTCAGTCATTTGATACTTCACCTGTGGCCAGAAAAGTATTCAATAAATGTGCCAGAGCCCCAGCAATCTCCTCCCTTGCCTCCCATAGCAGCCTGGGGATTCACGCATCTTTATACCTGCTAAAACATATAATACCTTCCCCTTATTAATCTTAACATATTCTCGAATCTCACCATCCCACCTGAAATTCCTAATTACAATGTCTTTCTCCTCTGTGAATATAGATGAGAAGTATTCATTTAAGACCTCACCCATGTCGTCTAGCTTCACGCACATCAACATTTGGATTGAAACTTTGATCGGAGTTCATTTCTAGATATTTAATATTTCTCATTATACTTGGTTTGATAGGTAAGATTGATCTGCAACTGCAAGGAATTTACTGATGTTCAACTCAGAATGAATGAGAAGAAGATTCTTAACACACTGAATAAAGACAAGAATAGAGTTACCATCAGGTAATGCTAACCATGTTACTTGCAAGTACTGGAAGTTTACAGATGTGCAATTTAAACAGAAATGAGAAAGAAACTTCAGAATTCCATGGAGAACTTGTTGGTAACTGTTTCATTGGTACCTTTAGCTTTAGCAATTTTGTATTATTTTAATTATTATGCCTAACAATTTTCAGATGAGTTCAAATTTGGAAATACAATAAACTGTAAGGAGAATTATAACAGACTTTAAGATTAACATAGAAATTGGTGGCTGCTTAGCAAAAGAAATTCAAACTAGGAATGTGTGAAATAATTTTGATAGGAAGAATGAAGTGAGTCAATACAAGCTAAATGAGGGTCAAAGAGAGAGATCAGAGAATGTTTATACATAAGTCTTTGTAAGTAGCATTTAGGTTAACAAAGTTATTAATAAAGCATTTGGAATTGAGGTCTTTCTAAATAGATGTATCAGTTGGAATAACCATTATGCTGTGCTGAATCTACATAAAACAGATTTTGGCCTGTTAATGTCTAGTTAATTGTATTGTTGAGTTTATTAATGCTTTTACTTAATATTAAGAAACAAGTGGTGGCTATTAATTGTCTGAGCACGTGCATAAGGAGCACCTGTAATACTGGGTGTGATACGGGAGGACAAGACTGAGGAAATAAATTCTCTCCATAATATAACAGATTGGTATCTAATGTTATTTGCTTCAGTTGTTTTAAAATCATGGCCCTAGTTGGAGTATTTTTTCCTAAGTCTCACCATTAAATATTAGCAAGGACATGAAGGCTTCATTAAGGAAACAGGAAAGATTACTTCAGGTGTTTCATAATTTATAGGAGTAATAGGCCAATTGAGTCTGCTCTGCGATTCAATGAGATCATGGTTGATCTGATAATTCTGAGCTCCATTTTCCTGTCTTTTTCCCATCATCCTTGATTTCCTTACCAACTCAAACCTGTCTACCTTAGCCTTAAATATACGTAATGATCCTGTCTCAATAGTGCTTTGCAGTCAATAATTTCTCAGATTCACAACCCTCTGAGAGAAGAATTCCTTCCCATCCCTATATTAAAAAAAAACAAAGAATTGTGGATGCTGGAAATCAGAAACTGTAATGATTGGAACAAAGTGGATCTCATGACTGTGAGATCCTTAATTGGTGTTGTTAACGTGGGCCAATCCAGGGGCCACGGGCATCAGATATAAACAGGAGATTCAAAATCTCCTCACTTGAGGGACTGACTTTGAGCTGGCTGGCCACAGCCAGTGTCCTATGCATAGTGATAGCCACAGATGAGGTACTAAAAGACTGTAGATTGGCTAATGTGATGCCACTATTTAAGAAAAGTGGTAAGGAAAAGCCAGGGAACTGTGGACTGGTGAGCCTGACATCAGTGGTGGGCAAGTTGGTGGAGGGAATCTCAAGGGACAGGATTTACATGTATTTGGAAAGGCAAGGACTGATTAGGAATAGTCAACATGGCTTTGTGTGTGGGAAATAATGCCTCACTGACTTTATTGAGATTTTTGAAGCAGTAACAAAGAGGATTGATGAGATGGACATGATCTATATGGGCTTCAATAAGGTGTTTGACAAGGTTCTTCATGGTAGACTGGTTAGAAAGGTTTAAAACATGTGGAATACAGGGAGAATTAGCTGTTTGGATACAGAACTGGCTTGAAGGTAGAAGACAGAGGGTTGCTTTTCAGACTGGAGGCCTGTGACTAGTGGTGTGTCACAAGAATTGGTGCTGCACCTGTTGCTTTTTGCATTTATATAAATGATTGGATGTAATATAGGAGATAAGTTTACTGATGACACCAAAATTGGAGGTGTAGTTGATGAAGAAGGTTACCTCTGAATACAATGGGACCTTGATTAGATGGGCCAATGGGCTGAGGAATGTCAGATGGAATGTAATTTAGATAAATGTGAGGTGCTGCATTTTGGAAAGGTGAATCAGTGCAGGACATATACACTTAATGGTAAGGTCCTGGGGAGTGTTGCTGCACAAAGAGACCTAGGAGTACATGTTCATTGTTCCTTGAAAGTAGAGTCTTAGCTGGACAGGATAGTGAAGAAGATGTTTGGTATGCTTGCCTTTATTGGTCAGTGCATTCAGTATAGGAGTTGGGAGGTCATGTTGTGGCTGTACAGGACATTGGTTAGGCCACTTTTGGAATACTGTGTGCATTTCTGGTCTCCTTGCTACAGGACTGATGTTGTGAAACTTGAAAGGGTTCAGAAAAGATTTACAAGGATGTTGCCAGGTTTGGAGGGTTTGAGCTGTGAGGAGAGGCTGAGTAGGCTGTGGCTATTTTCATGGAGCATTAGAGGCTGAGGGGTAACCTTTTGGAGGTTTTATAAAATCATGAGGGGCATGGATAGGGTGAATAGACAAAGTCTTTTCTCTGGGGTGGGGAAGTCCAAAACTAGAGGGCATAGGTTTAAGGTCAGAGGGGATAGATTTAAAAGGGACCGAAGGGGCAACTTTTTCATGCAGAGGGTGGTGTTTGTATGGAATGAGCTGCCAGAGGAAGTGGTGGAGGTGGATACAATTACAACATTTAAAAGGCATTTGGATGGGTATATGAGTGGGAAGTGTTTAGAGGGCTATGGGCCAAATGTTGGCAGATGGGACTAGATTAATTTAGGATGTCTGGTCAGCATGGACGAGTTGGACCAAAGGGTCTGTTTCCATGCTGTACAACTGTATGACTCTATGATGCAAATAAAGGGTGACTTGGTGATGGGATACCAACATTTGTTTAGTTGTTTCAGAAACAAAATCAAACATTGTTGGAAAAAAGTCAGCAAGTCTGACAGCTTCTGTTCAGAACTGTGTTCTGAAGAAGGGTCACTGGACCTAAACATGAACTCTGCTTTCTCTCCACAGATGCTACCAGACCTGATGAGATTTTCCAGCAATCTGTTATTGTAACTTTGTTATTGGAGTAGTTATAAAATGAACAGTTTGCTTTTAATGTACAACAGTAAGGCTTTAATTCTGCTATTTTTCCAGCAATTTCTGTTTTTATTCCTCCTCATCTTTGTCAAGATAGGACGTCCCTTACTCTGAGATTGTGCTGTTTGGGCCTAGGCTCTCCGACAAGGGGAAACAACCTCTCGGCATCTATCCTGCCAAGCACCTGAGAATTTTTTTTTTATATCTTAATAATTTCATATCTCATTCTTCTGCATTCCAGTGAGTACAGGCCCAACCTATGCCTCCTAAGAAAATCCCCTCCATACTCAGGATCAAATGAGTGAACCTTCTCTGGACTGTTTCCTATACCCGTATATCTTCCATTATCTAAGGGGACCAAAACTGTTCACACTATTCCAAATGTGGTCTGACTAGTGCCTTGTATAGTTTTTTTTCTATCCCATTCCCTTTGAAATAAAGGATAACATTCCATTTGCCTTCTTTATTACCCAATGAAGTTGTATGCTAGATGTAGGTGATTTATGCACAAGGATCCTGAAATGTTCTGCAGGCTTTCTCCATTTAAGTAACATTCAGCTCCTGTATTTTTCCTGCCAAAGTGCATAAACTCACAGTTTCTTATATTCCATTTGCCAAATTTTTGCCCTCTCTATTGACCTGTCTATTTGTCTCTGTAAAGTAACCCACGTTAGGGTTGTACACTGGAAATCAAGACCTACTGTTCCTAGAGTCATCACAAAAGTAAAAGATATTTACAGAAATGCTCAAAATTTCCCAGTGCACCAGTCTTATAGATTGACAAGTTCAGGTTGACAAAAAGCACAAGCAAGGTTTTTGTTCTTACCAAGAATTACTATTTATCACAAATAAATAGACTCTTGCTATAGCTAAACAATTACATAGAACTCTACCAGTTAAAACTGTAAACCACCTTACAAACTTCCCCCTTACACATACGCACAGACAGATACAGTCAGGAAAAAAATGGGTGTTATGTACAAAGGGAACCTGGGAAAGCAGTTCAGTTGTATTGATCAGGATGCTGCTTCACGGTCTACCTTCTCTGGATGTTTTTGCTGGTTTGCAGGAAGCACAGGGGCTGGTTCACCATTAGAAATGACCTCTGACTTATTCAGTAAAAGCCACAGCTTACGATAACTACTTGAGAAAAAATAAACTGCTTTCTTCTGGCTTAAAGTGGCTTTCACTGCTAATAAGAGAGACAGCTCATGAACTATTAGAAATCTGAGGCATCTCTGTATCTTGTTCACGGATCCAAACTGTTCAGTTACCTGACAACCAATCAAACAGTTGTCAGCAGGCAAAAAAACTTTTGACATCAATGCAAGGGGTCTTACAAGTAAGGCGAATGAACTCAAGGTATGTATTGGAACATGGGACTGGGACATCATAGCTGTCATAGAAACTTGGCTGAGGGAAGGACAGGTCTGGCAGCTCAATGCTCTGCATTTTAGATGCTATAGGAAGGACAGAAAGGGAGGCAAGAGAGTAGGAGAATTGGTGTTTTTGATTAAGGAAAACATTACTACTGTAATTAGAGAGGATATTTTTGAGGGACTGTCCATTGAAAATGTATGGGTTGAAGTTAGAAATAAGAAAGGGATGATCACCTTGATCGGATTGTACTATACCCACCCCCCCCAATGTAGTCAAAGGGAAATTGAGAAGCATATATATATATAATATATATAAGAATAATAGGGTTGTAATAACCGGGTATTTTAATTTTCCAAACATTGACTGTGACTGCCATAGTGTTAAAGGTTTGGATGGGAGGAATTTGTTAAATGTGTTCAAGAAAATTTGCTTTATCAATATGTAAATGTTCCTTCTAGAGAAGGAGCAAGATTTGACCTTCTCTTGGCAAGTAAGGGAGGGCAAGTGACTAAAGTGTTAGTAAGGGCACACTTTAGGACTAGTGATCATAATTCTATTAGTTTTAAAATATGATGTGGAGATGCCAGTGCTGGATTGGGGTGGACAAAGTCAGAAGTCACATGACACCAGGTTATATTCCAACAGGTTTATTTGAAATCACAAGC